TGCAAATTCACTATCTACTCTTTTGAAGTGACCAATCTGCTAATTCCACCCAGTGCATATTTTTATTTCAGAAATCATATTTCACTTTTCTTTGAGCTCTATGGGATCCTGTTTTTAATCTTCCATTTTTCTCCCCACCCTGTTTATAAGTTTCTTGGCTTTCCAAAATATATTAGTATGTTTTTAATTGCCATATTAAGCTTCTTAACTACTAACTACTAACAACTAAGGCTACTAATTACATCATCTCTGTCATTTCTGGGTCTGTTTCTATTGCTTGATTTTTCTTCTGGTAATGGGTCACATTTTCCTGCTTCTTTGCATGCTTGGTATATGCTTATTGAATGCCATGTATTTTTTATTTTACATTCTTGGTTGCTAGGTTTTATTGTATTCTTTTAAATAATGTTGGCTTTTGTTTTGGTTTGAAGTTAAATTACTTCACACCAGAAGGACTCAGGAAGATTCTTTCAAGCCTTATTTTTCAGCCTTGTTAGAGTGGATCAAGAGCAGCCTTCAATCCAGGACGAACTTAGCCTCACTACGAGGGCCATACCCTTCTGGGGGCTCTACACGATGCCCTGTGTATTACAAAGGCCTTTCCCTCTGCCAGTGAGAAGGTAGACTATTCCCAGTCCTACATGACCACCAGGAATTATTTTGTCTGCTTATTTCTAGTATGTATTTCCCTGGATTTCAGTAGTTTATTTGCATGCATATACAAATCGGCACTCAGGTAGAGTTTTTATTTTATTATGACTGCTACCAAAGTGGGTTTTTAATTTTTTAAATAGAATTATTAAAGGTTACTTTTCATTTACTATTACTACAAAATACTGGCTCTATTCCCCGTATTGGCTCAATACATCCTTGAGCCCGTCCTACATCCAACAGTTTGTACCTCCCGCTGGCCCACCCCTATATTGTCCCTTACCCCCTACTGGTAACCACTAGTTTGTTCTCTATACCTGTGGGTCCGCTTGGTTTTTTTTTTATTTTTTTTTTTATTGAGAAAAGCACTCACTCACAGATCTCCTGTGAGCAGTTCCCTCCTTTTGGTATGCTGTTCTGCAAATTTTAGCCAACGTGGTTTTCCCAAACTCCAGTCTCTGCCTCCTCAACTTGAGAAGTTACTGTCTGGCTTCCCCTTCCTTGTACTGCAGCCTGGGCACTGCCTCCAGGAAGATGCTAGGTGGTCAGAAAGATCGCACACTTCGTTATCTTCTTGTGCTGCCTATTTTTCCAAGCCTAAAAGCCACTATTTCATACATTTCATCCAGTTTTGTTGTTTAACGTCAGAGGATCCATATTACTTTATCATGGAAGAAACAGAAGTTCTAATTCCATGTATTCTATGTACAAGTACCATTCTTAATATTATTTTATTTTCTTTATTTTCCCTATTTTTCAATATTCTAATAAATAGAAGTTTTGTTTTTATACACTATTACTTACTTCACCTTTTAAATATCTACCATATGAAGGAGACTATAAAAAGAAGAAATATAAATTCTAATCCTGAAATTTCACCTTCATTGATACTAGTTATTTTCAAGTTCTTTTAGAATATAGTATGTATGCATGTGTTTGTATATATACTTTCACAGACTATAAAAAACAGAAAACCTCTACTCATTGAGATCTTCTCTTCAGTTTGGGACTGAGATAGAATGGGTGAGGTGAATAAACAGTAAGAAATTCCTTCTCAGTACCTAAGTAATGAACATAATCAGTGCTCTATAAATTATGTGTATCTTCAACTCCTTAGCACATTGACTTTCTGTCTTTGTTAGTAAGAAAAACAGAACATCTCTTAAGAAAATCCCAAGTTAAGTTTTGGAATGAAGTGATTTTTCTCTTTCTTTGACTACAACAGAGCGCTCTGGTCTACTACGTCAAGGTTGAAAAGATAGCAGGAATTGAAAGGTATGAGATTTTCTCAAATATATTGTGAGCATAGCCTCTGATATTGGTGACAAAATCTTATTTTTGTTATTGTTTACCATTTCACAGTTACCATTTTGTGAGATGCCCCATTCTTTTAAACCCTTAGACTGTAAAACTTAAGGACCATGTCTGTGAGGTATTTGTCATATAGCATTGAGTACAATATCACACACAATTAGATGCTCAATATTGCTCTGTGATGAACAGCACAATGATGACTTTCTAAGCAAGATCTATCAGTCTCTAAGGAATGCAGACTATGGTGGGCATTTGAAGCTAATGTCACACAAATATCTGAGCTATGAGACACATGCCTACAATGAGGTCCTTAGTTTTTCGTTTTGAATTTCTTTACACTACTTTTCTCTCTCTCCCTTCCTCTTTTTTTTTTTTAGCCATATTATTGCATATTTTTAGTCTAGGGAAAAGGAAAATGCATTTTCATCCCACTTAAGCCTTTCATATCTTGTTAAAAATTTGGCTTATGCTTTGTCTTCTCTGCTGGGATTATTCATACACAATCAGAGTTTGCCTTTTGTTATATGCTACATCACAACATGAAATAATCTCTTTAATATTTTCATAAACTAATATGCAGCAAACAAATCCAGTTATCCATCAGAAGATACACTAAGAATTAAAACATTAGAACAATTTAATTGAGTTTGTGCACATTAGGACATGGAAACTTTGTAGAAAATTTTTATTCTTGTAAAATTGCACTTATGTCCCTTTTATGTACTGAATATACTATATGCATAAGTTCCTAAGACAACTCCAGAACTTATTTTCCAAACATGCCAGTTCAGAGTCAATGAAAGAAACAAGGGGACTATCAATGAAGAGATTTATTCTCTAATCCAGCGTGCAAACCCCAGGTCTTAAAAGGAAAATATTTTAAGTTAAATCTTGCTCATATTAAATGATACTAAAATTTAAGATGCCACTAAAATGACTTATCTTTTATGCTAGATTCATGGATCAGACTTTATTTTAAACCACAAGCCACTAACTGTCTTCGTTGACTATGCAAAACTTTGTTAACTTAGATACTTCTTTGAAATTCCAGGCATGAATTCTTAAAGGAATGCATGGCTTGCAAACTTGACATTAAAAATCCTCCTGATTTCAAGGGCTGACAGATTTATTAGTAGACAAAGCTTGTCTACTCAGTAAAAAAACATAGGGAAAAAAAGTTGGAGCAGTGCTGAATTAATGGAGAAGAAAAAAATCTCCCCCCACCCCACCCCCCACCAAATCACTGCAGCAAGTTGTAAATGATGTATGAAATGACAGATCCCTGCCCAGGGAACAGGAAGAATAAAAATACTGTTCTGTAATCACTGCAGTGATGTGCTAGCTGCTAAAATTTTCTGCTTAGGTAAACCCAGGAAAACCTCACCTCATCTACAAATCTAAAAAAGAAATGAATGAAGAATAAATTCTATTATTTTACTGCTTGCAACACTCTCCTTTTTTTTCCCTTTTTCTTAGCCATAACATATTCACTGACTATTAAGACATATTTACTGACGATTAGAATACTTAAGTATTGCTGAGAAATTTGTCTAACAAATTTTTTTCTAATAAAAAAAAAAGGAAATCTCAAAACACATGTACGACATAGAAGATACCAGAAAGGGCTTCCATTCCACGGCCAACCAGACCCGGGTTTGAACCCAGCTTTGTTTGAATCCTGGGTCTGACTCTAGCTACATGATTTTGCACATTTTTTAAACTTCTCTGACCTTCAATCTTTTCCTTTGTGAAATGGAGATAATATATACCCACAATGTGAAGATTAAAAGTTCTAACCGTAAGTCACTCAAGTCCCTGGCGAAATATTTGACAAAGTAGGTAGGTGTAAAATTTGGGCTAGTTTTTCCCTTCCTTTTCATGATGAAGCACCTGTTTTGGCCTGGAAGGAAGACTGCATTTTGAACAGGAAGTCTTGGGTTCTAATTTCTCACTTTTTAGTTTATTAGACGGCTCACATCGCCTTTCTGAATCCATATTAGGTGTTTTTTTTTTTTCTGATAATAGATATTAGTTACATCCCATGAGGAAAATACATGATAATGTAGACTTATCTAAAACGTTAAATAAGTGCAAGGTATTATTACTATAAATTAACATATCTGAGTCAAATATATATACACATATAGTGTTCAGGTTTCTATGAATCTGTTCTTCAGGGATGCAAAGAACTACACTGTTATTTTATTCTAACATGATACCGTGAGAATTTTCTTTGGTCAGTCTCTTCAAGGGCTTATTTATTGGCTGTATCCCATAATGAGTTGCAAAAGTCCTCGGAGTGCCGAGGTTAAGAATGAGTCCAGGACAGCTGATTTTACGTTTCGAATCAAGCTGCCACTTGTCCTTTTTCATATTGGCTCTATTCAGACCATTCAGATGCCCTCATTAGTTATGGAAGTTGATGCTGAGTATTTACCTCATGCCAGACTACCCTTCCTCTTACCATATACAAGCGCAAGTCCCTTTTGGAAAAGTTAAGGCTGAGATCCCACTGCCTTTCAAACAATAACTGATACTTTGGGAAATTTTTAGAAACTTCTCCCAGTAGATAATGTTGTAGAAAGCAAAATGAGGCCGGGGAATTACCCCGTGCCCCTGATGAGAATCCATATCAAAGTTCTGATTTCATATGAAGTGACATTCCTACCCAAATGTATAGCTTCACATGCGTAAAAATTAGGTGATCACCAGAGGAAAATAATTTTCAAAATCTAATTTAATTCCGTTAATAAGACCATGAACCAAAGAAAACGAAAGATACCAAGGAAAAGAGAAAATATACCCAAACCAATAATAGGTTTCATTTCCTACCAGGAAAAAAAAAAATAATGCTCAGTAAGATTTGAAAAGAGGATGAGGCCAGTTCATTTTGATCCTGTGGCAGTACTTTGAAGCTTACTTTTTAACCTCGTCTATTTTACATTTCCAGATGCTATGAAAGGCAATGTATGCGGAAAGCAACACCAGTGGGAATTTGGGAATTTCCTCCACTGTAGTGATGATTTGGATCTTACTTTTTCTGAAAGCATCTTTAAAGAGTTCTTCAAGCTGTCTGGAGAATGCTGGCTTGCAGAATTAAGCAGCAGGTCCGCATGGGTTGCTATCAAAGGTTGTAGCTGATTGATGTTGCTGAGAACTTCTTTTGCTTTGGCTGTGTTTTCAGGTGAATAGTAAATAAACTGGTATCCGGTACTGCAACAACAAAGATAAAGGCAAGTTACACAACAAGCAGGAAGAATTTTCAGTGCTTAGTACCAGATGGCAAGTGATACACAGAACGCCAAATAGCATTCGTTCCTATTGAACAGATAAAAATTATCCTAAGAGGTATTTTTTATGATAGCCAAAGAGATTTTTAAGTAAAATGACCAAGATATTTCAAAAGACTAGGTGAAACATATCCAGTCTTTGCTCAATCACTAGAAGATTCTTCATGAATATGTACTTCAAGTATTAGTATTCAAAACAAATTAGTATTAATATTAACTACTAATGAACTTGAGGTCACATAGTACAGAGAGAAAAGTAGGAGCCCTTATATTTAGGCCAATATGAATATGGCTCTGCCACTTACTAGCTGGGTGATCTCGGGAAGCCATTAGCTTCCTCATCAGGTAAGTGGGAATAATTATCCAAACAATTCAAAGAGGTGGGTAAGATTGGTCATCATTCATGTGAAATGCCAAAAATAGTGCTTGACACGAAACACTTAATAATCACTATCTATATCCAACCCCCAATGATACTTAGGGCAGGGGGCATAAACTTGAATAGCAGAGAAATGGGGAAAAAATAAATTAATACCAAATAGGCATATGGAGAATTTTACTGGATAGAAAAAGGACACTTACGGCATACAAATTCCATTATGCTATTTTGTCACCACCATTTTCGTTCCTTGCGGTTTCTCATTTAACTTGTAAAAAAAACCAAACTTAAATTGATTACAAATGGAAGAATTACTGATTTTCATAATCATCAATTAGGAAATGGTCAAGCATGTTACAGAGTGAGAATTCCACGGAATGAGAGAGACTGCGGCCAGTTTCATTAGGAAAGACAAGCAGACATTCCAGCAGGGAAAGAAGTAAAACAGCAAAACATCAGCCAAAGTAAAAGAAGAGAGGGACCAGAGTTGGTGCTTCCAAATGGTTGGTGCAACACTTGTTACAGCCCTTTATATCCAACCATCAACACGTTTTTCATAATACCTTTGAAACCAAGTCCCCCTAAAATGAAGTTCCCTTACCAAGTTTATGATTAATCTCTGTCCAAAACTTTATTCCCTTTCTTGGCCCCTCTGACCTCCATCCTGTGCTCATCCACCAGTCAGATGACTAAAATTGCTGTTGTGAATAACATCATTAATGCACCAAAATTGCTGTTGTAGATTAACTTACAAACTCAGGCTGTTTCTCCGGGGCAGGATGAGCTAACAGACCCCCAAGCCATGGACCACCTGGCCAGAGAATCATAAACCAGAGACATTCTGACTCCTGAGACTAAGGATAAGACTTAAGGATTTCCCAGGGAATGTCACAAAAATGATGACTAATTCCAGTCTCTTTGTTCTTCCCCTTTAAAAGAATCTCCAACTCAAAGACTAAGTTGGAGTGGATTTGAGGCTTGCCTGCCACTCCCTTGCTGGGTGCCCTGCAACCAATCCTTACTTAGCTACAAACTCCCACTGTCAGAGTTTGGCTTTCTACGCTGCAGGAACAGGAGCCCTTTGCTGGGTTGCACCTTGCAACCTGTGTTGAGTATTTACTGAATATTTCCTTTACATTTACCAGATAAATTATTGACATTCCCATAATTCTATTAATTTTGCAACACGAGACTCCAATAAGAAAAATTAATATCTAGGAAGCACTCCCCCCCCCTTCCCTTTACACTAATGATTTTCAGGGCAAAGTATCAGTTTCTTCAGGGAGACAATAAATAAATACTTCTCTTATTTTATTCTTATTTTATTTATTATTTTTTTTCACAATGATTTAAAAAAAAAGTCCTTAGTTGCTTAGACTATTCAGAACATAGAACAAGAAGTTGATGAATGAGGGAGGCAGGTTTATAAAGGCTAAGAAACACATTGCTTTCCTGTGACACTTGTGAGAATTGCTCTTAATTTTGTACTTGTAGATTTTTAATTTTCAGAAGCAGGAGCTTAAAAATAAAACATATGACTTGACTTATTTGAATTCAAATTAAAGCTAATGACAAGTTAACAGTGGCAAGGAGGAGGGAAAAAAAACTCCCAGTCAAGTATCCAGGTCTTTCTGGCTCACCTGATCTTCTGCGGGGCTGTGCTAAGGTCTTTAACGAAAGTCATGAACTGGGATGTCCCCCTACTCATCTGTACTCAGACTGGATACAAATTCAGACCACCACAGTCTTTGGCAAATCAAACAACTCCCTGTGTTATTTCTGCAAAGAAAATGACTATCTAAAGATATGATGCCTCACCAGGGCAGGGATGACGTTTAACACCCAGCACTTTTGACGGCGGACAGAACTTAATAAGGACCAAACACAGAAAGCAGCCTGTGGAGGCTGCTTCGCGGTCCCTTCTCACTGATGGGCTCTTTTATCATTAGAATTTGCTCTCTGGTGTCATCTTATGGGGACTGACGGTCTTCCCACGGCTTCATCCTGGGGAAGACAGTGTGGTCTTCGCTCTTCCTCCTCCCAGAACTGTCCTCTTTCCGAGTGTGTCATTCCTGGCCTCGAATACATTCACTCCCATGCCCTCTCTTGGACTTCGGTCACACTACCTTCCTTCTTCACTCACATCCTTTTCCCCTGGCAGTTCATTGTTACTTTATTCCAGCACACTAATTTCACTGTTTTTTTCTACATATTTCTTACTTGCCAAGAGTCTCCTCTCCACTGGAGGAAATGCATCAACAAGGTGTATTTCTTACATGTTCTTTCCTATACCCTAGCTCTGTACTGCTCAAATTTTATCAGGTATAAGATTCACTTGGGGCTGAGGTCAGGACCTGGGTGTTTTTAATAAAGAATGCAGGGTCCCTGACAACACCAAGCAATTCTGCTACAGTAGGTCACAGCCTTGGTAACCAAGCACCCAGGAAATGCTGATGCAGGTGGACGGCTGAGCATTTTAGAGACACCCGCTGCCATTGTTTTGACTGCGAGATGTCCTCCACACCTTTGATCACAATACACAATGACCCTGAAAGAAGTTCCTTATTCTTAGTCTTAAGTTTCTTATTCTTAACTCATTCTAATTTTCATAAGGCTCTCTCTAAGGCTACATTTGCACTCCATCTTTATATTCAGGGCAAATTAGTTTGGCTCCCGTCTCATTACCAGTGTTGCCTCCCCTGACCTTTTCCATCATCCTTTCATCCTTTCTCTCCCAGTATACTCCCCACCCTCCCCCTATACTTCCTCTCCTCCCCCCATACATTCTTCAATCACCATCATGGGACATAACTGTAACTCCTGCCCCCTGCCCCTAAGTCAGCCTCTGTTCGAGCAGAGTTATGTAACAGGCATTGGTTCTCCTGGCTAAGACTTTTAACGATAAGTATCTTACCTAGTGAGGCTGAAAGATTCATTTTCCACGATAAAAGCCAATGTTGGTGTCCAGAATGAAATAGTATGATATGAAAAAAAAATCACCACCCACAAAATAATTTTAAGAATACATAAATTTCATCTACCTATTTAGCGCCTTACTCTTTAAACATGTCATATATTTTAACAGTTATAGCTTCTTAAATAGAAAGTTATGAATATAATTTGATTATTGAGATAAAAAGAATATAGCTAAACTCTATTTTATAGAGGTCTGAAATTTAAACTCAATCCAAACACTTGAATCAACCATCAATCAGACAAAACCAGAAGAAAGGCAAAATATTTGCTTGGACCAAAAAATATTTGATTGGATATAAATAATATAACAAATCATGGATAATTAAATTGAAATTAGTTTCATAATACTTTTGTATCGATGAAACAGTGGAGTGTATATATGCATGTATATCTATATACACACTTTAATATATATTTATTTCAATTATTTAATATCTGTTTAATTAGAATACACACACATCCACCCATACTCATATGTGCATGTTATTACTAGAGGTGTCATTTTTGAGATATAAAAAGAAAAGTAAAGCACATAGTGAAATAGTATTTATAAATGCTAACTGACAACCATAACAGGATTAAAACGATGATTATATTCTCTTGTGTGTATGTTTCACCTCAGTTGCTTCCTATTGGGCCTCTTATTTCCCCATCCTCCAGTGCTGGCATGCTCCAGGGAGCAGATCTTGGAACTCTTCCTTTTTTTTAAAATCTACATTTCCTTCCTAAGTAATCTCATTTAATCTTGGGGTTTAAAAACCTCAGTTGTGCTAATCATTTTCAAATTCATTCATCTCTCGCCTAGAATTTTCCCTGAACTCCATCAAAAGCAAAAGCCCTCCTCTTGACAGTTCCAACTTATCATGTTCCAAACTGAGCTCCTGATCAGCAGACAGGACGTTCTCAGCAACCAGCTGCTTCTACCCGCTTCCCCATCCTAGTTCATGGCAAGTCCATTTGATGCGGTCTATCTCTCTCCCCATCTCTTCTCTTCCTCTCCTAACTTTTGCCCAACTTTTCAGAAAATTCTGCCTTTCTCTTCCAAAAATATGTAGGATCCAACCACGTATCTCCACGCTCACTGCAACCACCTCACTGCCCTTACTCTGAGACACTGAAATCCTTGACTTACGCTTAGGTTGGATGGAGGCAGGAGGCAGGCAAGGAGGGAGGAATAAAGTAGTTCCTTCTTAGCCCCACACTCAGGCCCCAAATCCGGGGATTCACTCTGCCATTTCTACTTGCCTTTCTTCACCTGCACTGCCGCTACCTCCATTCCTTAATACATTTACTCAAGCAAGCTACTACTTTGGTAAACCGAGTTATGGAAAAACAAAGATGAGAGATGACGAGGAGGCAAGGAGGGAAAAGGGAAGGAAGACAGAGGGAAGAGAGGCATGAGTAGATGACGGCTGATGAACTTTGGAAAATGCTATGTAGTGATGTGCCTCCCCTCCAGTGGCAGAACCAAATCCCCAGAGAAAAGTCTAAGGACTATCTCCACCTTTTTTTTTTCCCTTACTCAAGCCCTACTTGCAAAAAAAAAGAGAAAATAAAGATTTCTTGAC